TCATCGTCATCACCGGCAGTTACGCTGCTGTCTTCTGCAATCTCGGTGCGTGAGGAGTGAGAGGAGACTGATTCCTCGAGGAAAAGAGAATCAGGCTCGAAAACAGATGTATGGGAGAGAAGAATGCTTCGGAACTCTTCTTCGAGCCTAGCCATGGCGATTTGGATAGCTGAGTTGGCTTTGACTTCGTGGTCGTCGACTGCAGCAGAAGCGGCGGAGGCGGAGGAGGAGGAGGGAGAAGAGAAGGAGAGAGAAGACAAGGTCCGTTGGATTTCATCGACGGCTCGCAGGAATCGATCCACCTCATCACGATCGCTCTGGAAAATCATCTTCCCTCTCGTTTCCCCAGACGCCGCCGAGTCCCATCGAAGTATTATCCTCTCCGCCGTCTCCAACGTCGAGCCATCGGGGTTTAAACCGCCAGTATTCTCCGGCGGCTCCATCTGAAATGTATCAGACGCCAAAAAAATCAATAACAAAAAAAAAAAACAGAAAAACAACAAAAGTCGAAACCGATGAAATCTTTCACCTCTTTCGATTCGATTAGGACTTTGTCAGATGAAAATCTATGAAAGGAGATTGGCAGATTTTTGGAAGAAACCACTCTGATTTGTTTTCTTTCAAATTTTATAATCGGGAAATCGCTTCTTATCGGAAGTCTAGTAAGGCAACAAGCTGTCTGTTTTGTATTGTTTTTTTTTTGTTTGGTTTTTTATTTTGGAAGTTTCTCAAGAGGTGGGAAAACGGAAAATTAGCCTGTAGACTTTTTAACTCCTCGTCTGTTTTTGTTATACGTTAACAAAACTAAACGTTCCGAATTACTCGCGCCGGCGGGCGACGTAAACTTGCCGGAAAATTTAAACTCTGTGACAAACTATTCGGTGAAATCTAGTCATAAATGCTATTATGCCTAAACTAAAGTCCCACTTTCTCTAAAAGGAGACGCATCTAGATATCCAATCATGTCTTATGATCTTTCATTTTATAGTGGGATCATTGAAGCCAGTGATTTTGGTAACTTTTTGAATCTAAAAACATATCACAATTACAGTTTCGATACTAGATAACATGGTCAATATACACAATGTGAAATATTTAGATTCAATGTACAAATATATGTACCGTTCAATATATAAAAATGCATAATAATGTATTTGTTTCCGTGCAAATAAATTCGGAACTTTACTATATACAAAAGTACTATGACGTGGTTGGACCGTGTTGGCAAGGACATCATTTTATATTATCTGTCATGTTGTAATCAAATTACCTGCGGATAAGAACGTAAACATTTGGTGAAGAATTTCAAAATATTATAGTGGAGATGTTTATATGTAATATATATTTATATACATATTTTGAATTTGAATAGTCGAAAACCAGCTAAAATACATGTACATTGTCAAACCTCATAATGAGATATGGTTGGTGGACCATACATGATGTTAATTAAGCCGATTAACTAAAAGAAATAATAAAAATAGTATTGAAACTTTAGATGATTATATAATTTTTTTAAAAACTAGATGATGGTATGTTTGCAAATAGGTTAAGCTACAAACTTACAATGAGAATGGTAAATACTGATAAATGCATTTGAAAAAAAGGGATAGATTTCACATAAAAATAAACAAAAATGGATGATAAATAGAAGATATTTTGTCATTATTTTATTTTAAGTGTCTGAATTTGGACCAAGAAGGCAAATCCCCTTTTATCAGATCAGCCAAAAGACCGGACTAACCCATTATTACAAGCCTGGGTCCCGCATAACAAGTTCGTCAGAATAATGGTCCCTAGGTAGCCACGCGGTCAACTACGTCGTTTTAATATGGGCTTGGGCCTGAGCCGTGAGCCTGTCAGTAGGATGAATAAAAGGACAATGAGTATTTTTATTGGCTGTTACAGAAAATAAACATCACAGTGCCGTGAAGTTAGTTTTACCAGCTTCATCTCTTTAATTTAGCAATAAAATAAATCGTCCTATAAATAGTTCACTTGTGCCGCACGGTCCCTCTCATCTTCTACGGACAGCTTCTTTCTCTTTCCTCTCTGATTTTTTTTCTCTTTTCTTTTTTTTTTTCACCTTTTTCTTTTCTTTTTAGTTTTTTTCTTTTTTTTCTTTTTCTCTTTCTTTCTTCCCTTTTCTCGTTTTTCCTTCTTCACCTCGTGAGCGATAGTACCTGAACATGAACCCTAGGTGAGTGAAAATCAAAAAATTTCTTGGGTAAACAAACATATATCTTTCTTTTTGGCTGTGGAAAAAGAAAAAAAAATGCAGAATCCGAGACTGAAGCAACATCAACAGCAACAGCAGCAACAAGCTCTGATGCAGCAGCAAGCTCTGATGCAGCAACACTCTCTTTACCATCCTGGTGTCTTGGCCCCGCCTCAGGTTCTTACACCTTTTACTCATCTTAGATGTGTCTAATTCCGGTAGAGAATGGAGTTTGTTTGGCTCAATTCCATTTCTACACTATCGCTTCTCTTGTGTGGGTCCTTTTTTTTTTCTCGGGTCGGGTTTAGTTTGTGTTTCACACATATCTTGTTCTTCCTTCCTTTTTGTTATTTCTCGCTGCCGAAACATTTGATTGACGAAAGGTTAGGGTTTCCAGATTCGTTCCGTTTATCTGTTGATTTTTAGTTAAATTGTAGTTATACACGCATTTCTTGTGATTATTAGCTTTACCGAGAAAGATTTGTCTTTTACTGAACTGATATTTACCTTTTTAGATGCATTTTCTCATGTGGATAAAAAAAGAAAAGAAATGATCTTTCTTCTTGTTCTGTAATCCATTTTTCATCTTTTGGCATTTGCAGTTAGAGCCTGTTCCAAGTGGGAACCTTCCTCCTGGTTTTGATCCCAGTACTTGCCGTAGCGTGTGAGTGAATTTGGTTTTAAGTTACTTGTGAGCTCATGTTTAACTTCCTGTTAATCATTCTAATATTGGCAGGTATGTGGGAAACATCCATACACAGGTCACAGAGCCTCTTCTTCAAGAGATTTTCACAAGCACTGGCCCTGTTGAAAGCAGCAAACTCATCAGAAAGGATAAGGTAGAGGAGATTCGAAATCCACCTCTTTCTTTTCTTAATTATGTAAAGATTGTGAAAGCTACCTTCCTATAAACTATCATTCTTGTTTTGGACAAACATAACTAAACAAATATGCTTTAGGAAATACTGGACTTATTTCTTTGCTTAAATTGGGATTCTCAAGCTAACTAAAAATGGACTCACAAGAATGCATATTTTGTGATTTCACAGTCATCATATGGATTTGTTCACTACTTTGACCGAAGATCAGCTGCTCTAGCTATACTGTCTCTGAACGGAAGGCATCTGTAAGGAACAGTTTCCTTAGTTCTCTTCCTCTCTTTGTTCTTCCCAATGCTTTCACTTATGTCATAATACTTGGCTTCACAGTTTTGGACAGCCTATCAAAGTCAATTGGGCTTATGCCACTGGTCAGAGGGAAGACACATCAAGTAAGTTCTGATTTTTTTCAAAGAGTTGCATTTTTTTTTGGTATGAAAATAGGAGAGTGTGGATGCTCAATGCTTTTCTGTTTTCATGAGATGCAGGTCATTTCAACATTTTTGTCGGAGATCTCAGTCCAGAGGTCACTGATGCGGCTTTATATCAAAGCTTTTCTGCTTTTTCCACTTGTTCGTAAGTTCTCATGCTTTATCAATCTTTTCTTTAAACGAATTCTGCTTTGTGTTGAAAAAGAGATTTCATTAAATGATTCTGCTGTACTCAAAATTCTCATATTCATTTAGCTTATCTGCTGAAACAATTCATCTAACTCATAAATCTTTAACGGAGTCTAATATGATTATTCACTTGAAGGGATGCAAGAGTTATGTGGGACCAAAAAACTGGACGCTCAAGAGGCTTTGGCTTTGTTTCCTTCCGTAATCAACAGGTACTACATATTTTTTAAATCATGAAGTGTATCTTTTTTTAGCTTGAGGATTGTTTGTGGTTTAACACTGATTTTGAATGTTAATTTAATTTGCAGGATGCTCAAACTGCCATAAATGAGATGAATGGTAAGGATTGTATAGTAGCTGAGATCACAGGACTTCAATATTTTCTTTTTTGTAAACTCTACTTTGTTGATTCTGAAGCTCTTAAAATCTGCATATACTGTGCCTTGATAGAGGAGCTCGTGAAGGATTCTTTGTTAACCTCTGTTCCAATCTGGCTCAGCTTCTAGTACTGAGATTTTAACTTTATCCTTAGCATTTAACCTTTGTTTCTGTCACCTCTTCTCAGGTAAGTGGCTAAGTAGCAGACAGATCAGATGCAACTGGGCCACAAAAGGCGCTACTTCTGGTGAGGACAAGCACAGCTCTGATGGAAAAAGCGTTGTGGAACTTACAACTGGCTCTTCAGGTTGTCTTTCTATCACTGTACAAATTCTTATTTAAATTTCTCTGGAAACAAATATGAGCTCTGTACTTCTAGCTAACAAAGCTACATTGAACGTTTGATTGTGCAGAGGATGGTAAAGAGGCCTTAAATGAGGATGCTCCAGAGAACAACTCTCAGTATACCACTGTTTATGTGGGAAACCTCGCTCCAGAGGTCAGTCCAATTTCTTATCCTTGTAACTTGGTTCACTCTCATAACAAAGACAGCAAGCTCTCTGATGAATTACTGCGTCAGTAGATTCTGGTACCTCGTTACAGCTATATCTATTTTGCAGGTAACTCAGCTTGATCTACACCGCTACTTCCATGCTCTTGGTGCTGGAGTTATTGAAGAGGTCCGTGTCCAACGAGACAAAGGCTTTGGTTTTGTGAGATATAATACTCATCCTGAGGCTGCTCTTGCTATTCAGATGGGCAACTCTCAGCCTTACCTCTTTAACAGACAGATTAAGGTACCTTTACCATAAAAAAAACCCTCTCTCTAATTGATCTCACTGCTCCCAAAATGTAATCTGACATTTGATTCTGTTATCATTTTTGATTGTAGTGCTCATGGGGCAGCAAACCAACTCCACCAGGAACAGCCTCAAACCCACTTCCTCCACCTGCCCCAGCACCAATGCCTGGTCTATCTGCAGCTGATCTCTTAGCCTATGAGAGACAGTTGGCACTAAGCAAGATGGCTTTGATGCACCCACAGGGTCAACACCCTATGAGGCAGGCAGCTCATGGAATGAATGCAGCTGGAGCCACCGCAGCCATGTACGACGGTGGCTTTCAGAACGTAGCCGCTGCGCAGCAGCTCATGTACTATCAGTAATAACCCTCAGTTCGTGGTGCCTATATTATCACTTTTCTCAAGTTTCAATGTATTTGCCTTTTCTTCTGTCTAGAACTTGATTATGTGTGTGTTTGTCTGTTTTCCCTCACTTAAGTTATTCCATATAAAGTTTAATCTGCAGTTGTATGCTTAGTTATGTATTCCCATGGGTTGTAAGAAGACGAGCAAAATTACACTCAATAAAAAAGGGATTTGGATATCCATTTTATGTGATTTTGACATGAATACAAACAAACAAAAGACAATGCAGATGAATAATCAGTCTGTCTCTAACCGGGCAATGTAGGTGTCATAGAAATTCCCGGCTTTCTCGAGATCTCCAAGCTCAGTGTAACAATCTGCAATGGCTCCATATGCTTCAGTGCTTCCAGAATCTTCTCCTTCCCTCTTGGAGATGGCTAGAACCATGGAGTGATACTGTATGGCCTCTCTATACTTGCCTTGACGTTGCAGCGAGGCGCCTAAGCCTCTCGCAGCCTTCTTTTCTTCGATGGGGTCTCTGAGATTCTGGGCAAGTTCCAAAGCTATCTTGAACTCTGCAAAGGCTTTCTCTGGCTCTTGGTTCCTTAGAAAGGTCTTGCCAGTTTTTAACTTGGAAATCAACTCGTGTTTCTTTGGATCCACAATGATCTCACTCTCTGGTGGGATTCTTGCTCCCACGGGGGCATAACTTAAGCCTGGTGCATAAGACTCGATCTTTGCTTGTCTCCTAAGAGCTGCGTTAATCTGCCGTAGTTGTTCATTTAACCTCTGTAACTCCCCTCTCCTCTGCCGAGCAAGCAACCCTGGTTAGTGCATCACAAAAAATTGTTATCAAAACTCCAACGAGTACAGTTCCTAGAAGCATACACATTTAAGATGTTATCAAAATGTTATCAAGCACATTACTACCTCCAACAGTGGCTCCAACAAGAGCGACAAGGGACAAAACTGGCATACTGAACATGGAGCTCTCTGGCTCACATATCTCAGCAGCGAAAGCTTCAAGTGGTGTACTCATCAGAAGAGAGTTTGTCAGCAACATTGCCAGGACAGGTAATTTGAGCTTCCCAATTCCCTGCCACATCCATGTCTAAAGGCTTACTATTACAATAAAAAACTTGACAGCAGAAGAACAAAACCGAGTCAAACACTATCCTGGAATTCAAGAGTATAGCTTAACATCCCGGAACTCACTAGCATACCTCAAAAGCTGACGACTTGTCGAGAGTTTCCACTTGCAAGATTTCCTTGCCTTCACAATCATTGAGCTTAGTAGACAAATGTTTAATCTTGGAGATAGGATGATGAGCCCCAGGCTTTCTGATTACGGAGTAGCCAATGGATGTAGAAAACTTTCCAATCTCTGATCAAAGCAATGGCGAAATAAGATGACTTTAGAAGCTACCAAGAATTGGTTTTATTGAAGTGTCAAATGAGGCAAGAAGGAAACATGACAGACGCGAGCTTGAACTAGTTTTATGAATGCAAACACAATCCGCGAAAATTACCAATATCACAATGATAACAAAGATTCGAATAAGAATACAATTGAGCACAGCATCGAAATCACATCAAGAATTAGAAATCACGCTTGAGCAAAAACATGCATAGTACACATTAATGTTATCATATGACAAAATTCTGAAAATGATTCGCCCAAAGTAACCTATCTTCCTTATCCTAAACTACTATAGAAGCTGACTTCCGTCAACATATTGTTTTTTCTCGGCGACCAAACAATTCCCAAAATAGCTTATTCCCAACGAAATGCTAAAAAAAACTTGTTCATCTCCGATGCTTCATTAGCGAACGAGGATCACTAACAGAGCAACTGAGACTTTGAATTGTGATCTGATTCAGCTAGTGAACGATGAGCTAACCTGGGCCTCGAGATTTATCGAGCGGCGGAGGTCGGCCGCCGGAAGTATGGGCGAGGGAGGAGCAACACCGGATAAGCGCCGCCATATCTGAAGACTGATGCTCTCTCTGACTGTTGAGGATAAAACAACGCCTTGGGAGCTTAAAACTCCGCTTTAGCTGAGCTGTTTTAATGTAATGGACGTTCGAGTTTTACTCGTTAAACTAATCGTTAATTGGCTAATTGCTGGTTAATGAATTTAATTACCACTCCCTATTTTTCTATTTAATTACACATATGCCCTTTATATAACTTAGAAGCTGAAACGCAGCGTTTTATACAGCTTTTCGGCTTTTCCTAGTCTTGTCGCGACTGTTCCGTGTGACTGTACTGTATTTTTTTCCCGGCGGAAGTCTTCCACTAGGCGGAGGATTTTTATAGGGTTTTAGATTTGCCGCTTTGCCGCGCTTCTGCTACCCGAAATTTCTTCTAAGATTTGAAGCTATAAGGCTCCTCTTTTTTAGTTTATTTGTTTTTAAAGCATTTGGGGTTGGTTTTCGTTGGTGAAGAGATAGACATGGATATGGACACTTCCCCTAGCTACTTCGACCCCGAGGTTCTCAGTGTTAGGGATCAATTCCGTCGTTATCGGTAAAACTCACAGACTACCCTTTTTTTATTTCATTAGCTATTCTCGATTTTCTGGGTGGCCGATGCTTGGAAGCTTCGATTGTCTCGTCAATTTGGATTTTTAGGTGGGTTTTTTCCTGGGTCTTCGGTTGATTGTAAGCGCAGTCTAGATTGGCTGATTGTGGAAACATCTGAATGCGATTGTTTTCGAAAGGTCCGGAATTTGTTTGAGGTTTTAGATGTTCTCTATTGAACCGGACCTCGTTAGGATTTATGGTTTTAGGTCATGAAATTTGCGTATGAATTTAACTCATTGATTAAGATGAATAAAAGTATCTAGGTATCAGTCTCGGAAAGATTTTTTGCTCTTTGATGCGTATTGTTTAACCACTTCTTTGCCTGCTTGAGGTATAACATTTTGATTCTCATTGTATGTCAAATTGCACTTTAAAATGCAGGAAGAGGCACTCTACATCGCCGCATGAGGACATCTTGAGTTCAAATGTCAGTGAGAACAGATTACTGTATGATGGCCATAACATCCATAGTCCAACAAATACAGCTTTGCTTCTTGAAAACATCAAAGAAGAAGTTGACAACTTTCACACCGATCATTACGAAGGAACACCTGCGAACCCGCTCTCTGCTTCCAGGAGGGAAAGTGCTGGAATTCTAGATGCTGATAACGAGGTTTTGTTTCGTGGAGTGGAAACCCAATCACTGAAGGCTTGCAAGATTGAGAATGATGAGTTGGCGGAGAGTGGGGATACAACCTTTGCTCTGTTTGCTTCTCTATTTGATTCTGCTCTTCAAGGTTTGTATGATATATCAGTCTTCTTCATATGAAGCATGCGTATATACATGAACATGCAGATATTTGGGTGTGTTCTCATATATCCAAAATTCTCAACTAACCAATGTTCCTGTTTCAATGTTGTTTTGTTGCTGCATTGTAATCGTGGGCTTGTAGGATTCCATTTGCTTAGTTATTAGAGTCCAATTTATGTCTGGTTATCTCTTACTGTAATTATGACGTCTTGGTTCTGCAGGACTGATGCCCATTCCAGATCTAATACTGCGACTTGAAGAGTCATGCAGGGATGTTTCACAATCAATTAGGTTTGTTTTCTGGCTCTTAAGAGTTAAACCGTCATTCCTCTTCAACTTTAAGCTTTTCTTTCTTGTTCAATGCCTTTTCGGTTATCTACAGGTATGGATCAGATATAAGACATCGGGTTGTGGAGGATAAACTTATGAGACAGAAGGCTCAGCTTTTGCTTGGTGAGGCTGCCTCCTGGTCACTTTTATGGAACCTATATGGAAAAGGTAAGGAAACTCAGCTCCTTCTGTCTATTGTTTTAGGCGTTTTGGAACAGGGTGGGCATTGTACTCATATTAATCGCTGATGTCTGTTAAAGCTCTGTGTGTCATGTAATATTTTCATGTCTACCTAGAGGTACGATTATCAATGACATATCTTTTGTTCTTACAGCTACTGAAGAAGTTCCAGAGGAATTGGTTGTGGTAATGCGTTCTTTCTTAGTCTTTTTTCCAATGAAATTATTCTTATTTGTTACATCTGACGCATGGACTCATTTGACTTTGTTTAATGTCGGCAGATCCCATCAACATCTCATTTGGAAGCTTGTCAGTTTGTTGTAAACGACCATACAGCTCAGCTATGCCTTCGGATAGTCCTGTGGCTGGAAGAACTAGCTTCAAAATCACTCGACTTGGAAAGGAAGGTGGCTATTCCAGTATATTCTTTTTAATTTATTACTTTACCGATGCAATTTTGTCACGATACGTGATTGGTTGGTGTGGTCATTTTTCCGTATTCCTAGGTAGAGCTCATGCGTAGGATCGTTAATAAACTCACTAATTGCAGTGCCGTTCCTTGAACTTTCATTACAATTAGAAGAAACAGAAGTTGAACAAAACGATTGCTGCTTTTTCTTCTATAGTAGACGTTGCTTTCCACCTAGAGAAATGTTTAATCTAGTTGTATATAATTAGAATCTGAGGAACTCCATTGGAAACATCTCCAGAACATTATTGCTTCTGAAATCAGAGTCAGGTGTTTGTGTTTCCTACTTGTCATATATTTTAGGGTTTGATTTCCTAGTCTTTGTTCAACTTAGGTAAAGAATTGCATGGCAAACCCTCAAATTGATTGAGCTGATTAATACCCGATTATAATTTAGTCACAAGAAAATATGTATGTTATCAGGTGCGGGGATCTCATGTGGGTACTTATCTTCCTAACGCTGGAGTGTGGCATCACACACAAAGATATCTCAAGAAAAATGGCTCTGCTGCTGACACTGTACACCATCTGGATTTTGATGCTCCAACTCGTGAATATGCTCGTCTTCTTCCTGATGATAATGTAAGTTTGTTAAGCTCTGGTTGAAGATAGGTTCGTTTAGTTTTTAGTGCTGATGGGCATGTTTTACCTTTGATTATATTTGTTCATTTCGAAGTGAAGGTTGTAACTACTATTTCATTCTTTTTGTCACTGTTGGGTAAAACTAATATTTACAACTTTTCTTTTGTAGAAACAAGACGAATCTCTTCTTGAGGATGTTTGGACTTTGATAAGGGCAGGGAGAATGGAGGAGGCATGTGATCTCTGCAGGTCCGCTGGGCAGGTAATATTTACAAGGAATAAAAATCTGTTAATGTAATGATTACAAATATGTGCAGCTATAGTCTCGACTTAAATTTATACTTTGGCAGCCTTGGAGAGCTGCAACTTTATGCCCTTTTTCTGGAATGGACATGTTTCCTTCTGTTGAGGCACTAGTAAAGAATGGGAAGAATAGGACTCTCCAAGCTATCGAGCTGGAAAGTGGTTTTGGCAATCAGTTTCGTCTTTGGAAATGGGCTTCCTACTGTGCATCAGAGGTAATATGAATTCTGGATAGCTATGATACTTTCTTAGTGAAATAAATTCTTTTTTTCCATCTCAGAGAAACTTAACTGTTTCTTTTTTAATATTTGTTTCTGAAGAAAATCGCAGAGCAGGATGGCGGCAAACATGAAGTTGCTGTTTTTGCAAACCAATGTAGCAACCTGAACCGCATGCTACCAATTTGTACCGATTGGGAGGTAAAACATGCACGTTTGTGTGATCAGATTTTTATTTAGATTATTTCAACATTGCTTCCTTGGCTGCCGTATTTTTTTTTAATTTACAAATTTTAAAATTGTTTTATTGGTTATCCTGCCAAAACTCTCAGCAATATAGTTGAAGGTGCTCATTTGAAACGTCAGTTCTCTTCTTAAGTTGTATAGAACCCACCCTGCACGTGTGTCCCTATTAAATTGAATTGTCACTAATGAGATACTTAGTCCTTGTTTAAATATGGATTTGCAATATTGGCAATACTTATTTTCAGCTCTACCCTTCCTATGCAAAATCTTTGGAAAACTGGAAACTGCTATAGTCTCTAACATATTTCGTAGCTTAGTCTCTGTGCTGCGTGCATTGACATTGTCTTACCGTCCATGGTGATTTTTCTGCAGTCAGCTTGCTGGGTGATGGCAAAATCATGGCTTGATGTTCAAGTTGATCTAGAACTCGCCCAATCAAAGCCAGGCTTGACAGAAAGGTTTAAAAGCTGCCTTGATGAAAGCCCGGAAGCTATGCAAAATGGTAGTCATGCTTCATTTGGGCCCGAAGATTGGCCCCTCCAAGTTCTAAACCAACAACCCCGTGACCTTCCTGCTCTTCTTCAGAAACTCCATTCAGGGTATGCATGCAACTCTTGGGAAATTTTCTTTTTGTCCTTTCTTCATAAGAGCTACAGCCCAACGTATTGTATTGTGCCTGGCATAGGGAAATGGTGCACGAAGCTGTTGTCAGGGGATGCAAAGAGCAGCACCGGCAAATTCAGGTAAGCGTAGATGCCAAATCTTTTTCCATCAAGCTATATAAGAATCATATGTTATGTGCGTAGTCATCCCTAATACTTTCTTTTGCAGATGAACCTTATGTTGGGGAATATCTCACACCTTCTTGATATAATATGGTCATGGATAGCGCCCATAGAAGACGATGAAAGCAACTTTAGGTAATCATAGCTTTTCTTGATAGTTTCACTGTATTAAATAATTCTGGGGTATAGTGTTCCTTTTTCATTAATTTCTTTCGATTGACTGATTGACAAAAATTCCCAACTCAGGGAGGCGGTAGGGGTTTCTAAATGGCAATACCTTCTGCATATTTCTTATGTTCCTTCTGCATAGCGAAGAGAGATAGCTTTATTTGTGATTTGACTCAATACGTTATGCATTTGGCAGGCCCCATGGCGATCCTCATATGATAAAGTTTGGCGCCCACGTGGTGCTTGTTCTTAGGTATATGCTTGCTGATGAAATCAAGGACAGGGAGAAGCTCAGTAATGTTGGTGATCTTATTCTTCATATGTGAGTCACTTCGAGTTGGTTCCTCTGCAATGACAGAGTGCATTTA